AAGAAAGAAGCTTAAATTCCCATAAACTCTTAAAGAATGGGGCAGAATACATATTTGAAGAGAACAGAGATTTCTTGTCAGAAACTCTGCATGCTAGCAGAGGGCAGTGACATCTGTAAAGTACTGAGATATAAATAAGTATAAATTAGAATTCTTTATGCAATGAAAATGTTTTCCAAAATGAAAGTGAAATAACATTTTTTCAGACAAACAAAAGCTAAGCTAATTCATTTCCAGCCGACCCGAACTACAAGGACTATTAAAGGAAATTCTTCAGACAGAAGAAGTATGATATTTGATGAAAATTTGGATCAACACAGAAAAATAAGAATCACAAAACCAGAAAAATTCAGAGTAAATATATAAAGATAATTGACTTCTTGTAGTAGAAATAACAAGATTTTGGAATGTATGTAGAAATAAAATATATGACAAAAAGAGCACAAAGAATGGGTTTGTAGAAATTGAAATATACTGCTATAGATTCTTATACCACCTGTGAAGTGGTATAATATTATGTGAAGACAGACTGTGATAAGTCAAAGATGCATATTATAAATACCAGAGCAATAACTAAAAATATTTTTAAAAAATAAGTAAAACTAAAAGCAAATGATGAGAGAGAAAAAATGAATAGTAAAAAATGCTCAATTCCCAAAGGGGCAGAGAAGTGGAAAGTAGGAACGAAGAACAAATGCAGTAGGTAGAAACCAGTGAGATAGGAGACTTACAAATCCAACAATGTCAACAAATGTGTTAAACATAAATAGCTTAGGGGCCTCTGGGTGGCTCAGTAGGTTAAGCATCTGACTCTTGGTTTTGGCTCAGGTCCTGATCTCATAGGTTGTGAAATCAAGCCTCACTTCAGGCTCTGCACTCAGCAGAGTCTGGTTGAAGATTCTCTCCTTCTACCCTTTCCCCAACTCATGCACGCATGTGGTCTCTCTCTCTCTCACTCAAATAAATAAATAAATCTTTAAAAATATATATAAATAGTCTAACACAACACTTGAGCATTAGTAATTGTCAGATTGGATAAAAAGATAAGACCAAAGTATATTTTCTTAATAAGAAATTGATTTTAATGTGAAAGCATATATAGATAAAAACTAAAGGATGGAGAAAATAAACAATGCAGACTTTAACCATATTAGATGTTAGAACAAATATACTTTTTTTTTTTAAGATTTTATTTATTTATTTGACAGAGACACAGCGAGAGAGGGAACACAAGCAGGGGGTAGTAGGAGAGGGAGAAGCAGGCTTCTTGCCGAGCAGGGAGCCCGATGCGGGGCTCGATCCCAGGACCCTGGGATCATGACCTGAGCTGAAGGCAGACGCTTAAGAACTGAGCCACCCAGGCACCCCTAGAACAAATATACTTTTCAAGAAGAAAACTGAGCATGAAATAAGTAGAAAGGGGTCAACTTAACAAGAAGATTTTATAATCTTAAGTATTTACACACAAAATAACAGATCTTCAAAAATGCAGTTTTTAAAAAACCTGAAATAATTGAAAGGAGAAATAGGCAAATCCATAAGTATAGCTGGAGACTTCAACAGTTCTCTCTTGGTTACTGACAGAACAAATAGAGAAAAGTAATCAATAAAGAGAAGGAAACAACACCATCAGCCACCTCAACCAAGAACAGAAATCATATTCGTTTTAAGCACACATGGAATATTTCCTCAAATAGACCACATACTGGTCCATAGACTAGATTTTAATAAAATTAAAATAATTAAATGCCATACAAAGTATGATCTCAGACCAAATGGAATTAAACTAGAAATTAGTGACAGAAAAATTTCTGAAATATAACCAATATTTGGAATTAGCCCTCTTGTAAATAACCTATTGGTCAAAACGAAATCAGAAAGGAAATTAGAAAATATTTGAAATTAGACTTAATTATAATATCAAAATTTGTGGGCCTCAGTTAAAGCACTTAGTGAGAAATTTAAAGCATGAACATATGTTAGAAAAGAGGAAAGGGCTCAAATCAATGAATTAACCTTTCATGTTAAGAAATTGAAAAGGGAAGAACAAATTAAACCTCAAGCAGCAAGGAAAATGATAATAAATACAGAAATCAATAAAATTTTAAACAAAAAAAGTAGAAAACATAGGGAATATCAACAAAATCAAAGCTGTTTCTTTGGAAAAATCAATAAAAGTATAAACATCCAGTAAGAATAATCAAATAAAAGGAAGAAGATACATACTACTTATCTTAGGAATAGAACACACTACTACAGATCAAGTAGACATTAAAAGACAATAAGGAGAAATTAGGAAAACAAACTTATGCTACTAAATTTGGTAACTCAGATGAAAGTATCTTTGATTCTTTGCAAGATAAATGCAAACTACCAAAGCTTATTAAGAAGTAATAGATAACCTGAATTATTCTAAATCTATTGAAATAATTACATTCCTAGTTCAAAACATCCCCATACAGAAAAATCTAGGCCTAGAATTTTCCAGAAAGTTTTCAAATGAATACTGATTTTGCACAATGTCTTTCACAAAATAGAAGCTATAGGGACACTTTGCAGGCCACTCTAAAAGGCCAGTATTACTCTCCTACAAAATCAGAAAAAGAGTTTCCAAAAAAAAAATTAGATCAATATCCCTTATAAACATAGGCAGAAAAATCCTTAATGTTAGCAAATTGAATCCAGGAATATAAAATAAGGGTAAATACATCATGATCCAATAGGGTTTATCCCAAGAATGCAAGTTGGTTTAGCAAAAATCAATCGGTGTGACTCACCATATCAACACACCTTTCAAGATAAAATCACGGGATTGTTTTACTAAAGTATTGAATAAAATTTAACATCCATTCACTATAAAACCCATAGGAATAAAAGGGAATGGCTAAAAGATATGTAGTTAGTGGTTCAAGACTGAATGTTTTCTGCCTGAAAGAAGGAACAATAAAAGGATGTCTCCTCTTACCACTTCTATGTAGGATGGTAATGAAGGTCCTAGAAAGTACAAGAAGGTAACACATGGAATATTTCGATGTCTTAGTGAAAGATTACAAACTAGCACCAATTCTCATTCCTCCCTTTACCCCAGCCATCTAATGGAAGAATGCACAAAGTTTGTCTTACGCATTTTTGCATCACCAGCATCAAGTACAACACCTAATACAGAGGTGGGCACAATTAAATAAAAAACAAACAGTAAATAGCCAGCTACTTTTGCAATTTATTTTTGCTTAAACTTTTATTTTTTAAAAAGTTGTTTAACTGAAAACATGCTGCTGATTTTACTGATTTACTGTGTTCCTATCTTCTTTTTCTTTTGATTTATTTTGTTCTTAACAACTGAATTGTCATTTGACTTACTAAGTAATAAGAAAATACTTTGTATTTCATTTTTGAGTCATTGAAAAACCAGTTTTCTGGATACAATTTTTCATGTTCAATTTTCTGCTAATCTGGGAAGCACATGCTTCACAATTGTGTCCATATGTATTAGTTTTAGAAAACCTAAATGATTTATATCAATTTTTATTTCTGTTCACCATAAATTACAAACTCTCCAATCATGAAAACTATTGTCACTAAATCATTAGATATCCTTAATATATTCATATCATACACAAAATGGCCTATGATTATTTAGAAACTGTTAATAAAACTTGAAAATATTACTTGAACACAATAATAATTCACAACTCTTAGGTGTATATCACTCAACTGCTTAATCTTTTGTGTTAGTTTTAAAAGTCTCATTTTTAAGGCAGTTATCAGTGTCGAACAAATACATAGTTTAATTAGAAGGTGATTTAAGAACTTTTTTTTTTTAGATTTTATTTATTTATTTGATAGAGAGAGACAGCGAGAGAGGGAACACTAGCAGGGGGAGTGGGAGAGGGAGAAGCAGGCTTCCCGCCGAGCAGGGAGCCCAATGCGGGGCTCGATCCCAGGACCCTGGGATCATGACCTGAGCCGAAGGCAGACACTCAACGACTGAGCCACCCAGGCGCCCCTTAAGAATTTTTTTTAAAAAGTCATGCTTCTTTCACAACATATATATCAAGTCTCATTTAATTAGTCAACTTTTAAATTATCATGAAGCATGGTTTAGTAGGAAAACACGGAATGAGGGTCTGAACACCTGGTTTCTAGTCCAATTTAATGACCTCCTAAAGGTCAGATATTTTGATTTCTACATTTTATAGAATATATTCTATATTTTCCATAGCATCTGTTATGAATGATAGTAATTCCTAACCTTGAATATTGCTTTACATTTTAAATATGCATCTTATATCATAAAATACATAAGGAAGTCTCATGCACTGAAACAATATCACCCCTCCATAGATGGAACCCAATATCAAGATATCAGGTAAATGGCAAAGTATGATTTAGAACATCAGTGAACACTTCTCACTCCAATTGCTTCTACTGAATGCGGGAAGCAATAAATGTGTATTAAGTAAACTGAGCAATTCACTAAATGAATTCTAATATGTGAGTGAGAGAAACATACATTTTCTGAGCAGTGCTGTATGCTCTAAGGTAATTGTTTAGTAATGGGGCACCTGAGTGGCTCAGTTGCTTAAGCGTCTGACTCTTGATTTCATCACAGGTCATGATCTCCAGGTTGTGGGATTGATCCCCATAACAGGCTCCACACTCAGGGTGGAGTCTGCTTGTCCCTCTCCCTCTGCTCTTCCCTCGCTTGTGAGTGCTCTCTCCTTTTCTCTCTGTTTCAAATAAATAAAATATTTTAAAAAAAAGTAATTGTTTAGTACCAACCCAAAATCCCACTTGGGGTTTCCAAGTCCATGAGTTATCTCCCGCCATCTTGATAAATTTCCTTTAGATTTAAATACCCCGAGGTCAAGTAGGTGTGAATGACCCTATGCTCCTTGTTTCAGTGATCAAGCTGAACCAATCAGAATTTTTTCCTAAAAATATGGAATTGGATTGCAGAGGGATGCCATTGGTCATTAAAATTAGTTAACAACATGGAAATAAACTGAGTTGCACACAAAGTAGAGTACTTAGAAATAAGATCCATTAACTATTAATGTAGATGTCCCAGGACACACCTGGTTTCTGACCACCCCGAGAACTTTTATTTTTTGTTGTTGTTGTTTATTTCTTTAAATAATTGATGTATGATTGACAAAATTGTAAGATATTTAAAGTGTACAATGTGATGATTTGATATATGTATATGCTGTGACAAGATTGCCCTCATCGAGTTAATGAACATATCTATCACCTACAGATTGATTGATTGGTGAGAATATTTAAGTTCTACTCCCTTGGAAAATTTTAATTATACAGTACAGTATAATCAGTTATAGTCACCATGTTATAAGATCCTCAAACCTTATAACTGAAAGTTTGTATCCTTTTACCAGCCTCTTCTTATTTTACCCAGCCCCTGACAATCATTTTCCTATTCTGTTTCTGTGAGTTTGATTTTCTTTCTTTTTTTTTTTTTAAAGACTCCACATATAAGTGGCACCATATGGTATCCTTCTCTGTCTGGTTTATTTCACTTAGCATAATGCCCTCAAAGTCCATCCATATTGTTGCAAATGGCAAGATTTCCTTATTTTTTAAGGCTGAATAATACTCCTTTGTATATATATAGCTGACTCTTGAACAATATGAGTTTGAACTGTGTGAGTCTGTACAGTCAGGTATCTTGTAGTACAGTACTGTAAATGTATTTTCTCCTTTTTATGGTTTTCGTAACTTTTTTTCTCTAACTTATTTATTGTAAGAACACAGTATATAATACATATAACATAAAAAATGTGTTAATTGGCTATGTTATTGGTAAGAGTTCTGGTCTCTAGTAGGCTAGGCTATTAGTTAAGTTTTTGAGGAGTCAAAAGATATGCAGATTTTTCATTGTGGGGTGGGGTTGGTGCCCCTAACCCTCACATTGTTCAAAGGTCAACTGTATATACCACATTTTCTTTATCTATCCGTCTACAGACACTTAGGTTGTCTGAGTACTTTTAAATACTCATTGAATCACATGAGATGTATATCTTTATAATAACATCTCCCTTTTCAATCCTTTCAATCTGTCCACAGGTTTTATTTGAGAGAGATGGAATGATTTCCAGTTCTTTGCCACCGTAAAATTCCTGTAAAAGAGAGGTTAAATAAGTTGTTAAAATCCCACAACAAAAAGACATGAGACAAAAAATGGCAGTAATGGGAGTCATTATTTCTCAAAAGAAAGAAGCATTGATAAGAATGATATTCATTGATAATAATGGATTCTTAAACATTGAAGTTCCATAAGAGTGGGAGGGGGACAATGATTCTATTTTACCTCGGAAAATGTGTATCAATTGAAGTTTAATAGCCAAGATGAGTGAGTAGTTTCCTTCCTCAAGATACGGCAGTTACAGTTCCCTCCATTTGCTTTCTGTTTTGTCTTTCCCAAGTCCCCCATCTCCAAGGGGCAGGTATTGGCTAGATGAGCACTTCCTTACCTGAAGGTGAAGCAGATTGTTATCTTCAATGGCAGAGATGAGAAACCTCTGCCAAGTACCATGTTGAAGTAGGAGAACATCCTTATAAGCAGAATTTCTTTTAATCAGTCTTTGGAAGCCACTTCCAGTACTGATTTATGTACGTATGGTTTGTCACTAATGTAATTATGCTTCTGGAATGGATTATGTTTTAATTTTAGAATTCCTTGGCCTTGGTTACAATTTTATGACTACCTTAAGCCTTACTCAAGGGCATAATTTTTATAAAGCAATCAAGTGCAAACATTAGGTAAAACCAAGGGTCATTCATCCTCTCCTCTTCTCTCTGCAAGCAGTACTTTTATAGAGCTTTCAGAATCTGCAGAGGAGTGCACAAAACAATTTCCTTTTACTGCTGGAACTGTTTCTCCTATTGGACTGTTCATTAATTATGCCAATTATATTTTGAATGGTACTAAAAGGTGCAAAGGGTAAAATATGAATCAGTATATGATTTTAGTACTTGACTTTGTCCAGAATTTTATATCCCTTTAGGGTTATTTCTGCTCAAAACAAAGTATCTATAAAAATTATCTATATTATTATTTTTATTTCTAAGCTACATATATTGAACTCCTCAAAAGTAGTATCCATTCAGCTCTTAATAGAATCTTTTATATTCAAAACGTGCATATGCTTTATAATAAGATGAACATATGAAAAATAAGAGAATCTTCAAAGTAAATGTTGAGCAAAGGAAAAAAATGGACATTCATGCACCCACCACTCAGCTTGAAGAACAGAACATTACAATAACCTGAAGTCACCTTTGCCAGATTGCATTTCTCTGTATTGACCTAGAAGTAATCACTATCCTCTTCCTGAACTGTGTACCCATTATTCCTTTGCTTCTCTTTATAATTTGTCCATTTTTATGTGTATTTTAACAAAATATTGGTTAGTATTACTTGTGTTTGAATTATATAACTATAGAGTCACTGTATATATTTTTAAACCTTTTTTTTTTTTCTCAAAATGACATAAGATTTATCCATGTCGGTTTATGTAACATGCTCCATAGGTTCATTCTCTATATCATTCATTATCACTGTTGTAAAGTATCAGATTATAGGAGATTATTTTTTTAATCTGTTGATAGACCTTCAGGTTATTTGAAATTTGTAGCCATTACAAGCAATGCTGCTGTGAATATTGCTCTATCAGTCTCCTCTTACCACATGTGAAAAGTTTCTCTAGGGAAGAAATCCCTCAAATTCTCCATGGAGTAAAACACGCATATCCATCTGTCATACTGGAGTAAACAGTTGGATATGCTCACAGGAGAAGGTGACTAGCCCATGGGTTCTAGCTGCATTCTGCTAGCCCTTCCCTTTCCCCTTGAGGGCTGAAGTGGAGAAGTCCTCAGGCACACACATAACCTATTTATGGTATTAATATGCTGGAATGATACACAGGAATGAATTCTAACATCTATGGGGTTAATCATCTTAATTTTTTTGAATAATGCCAAATAGTTTCTGAAGGGTTATGTCAAAGTAGTAGTGGGAAACAGATGTAACAACTAAATAAGGGTAATTGAAAGTAACGCAATAAATAGTAACTTAATATTATTAACTTAATAACAAATAATTTCAAAGTCATAGGCAGAGAAAAGAGGAGGGCAAAGCACCCAGGGTCTCAGAACCTTCAGGGAGTTACTCCTCAGCATAGGCCTAAATGGAAGGGACGAGGGGAGTGAACTGTTACAGAAACCTAAGGGACAGTCGCTATAGAAGAGAGCTACCTGACATATAAGTATCTGTGGCCTTAAGTAGAGGGACACACCTGGATGCTGAGGCCTGGCACACCTCCTCACACCTCATATCATGCCCACATCTTGCACTGCCATGTAACATGAAAAATTATATAAGTAGTTTTTTTCTGAAATTGAACTACCTTTTCATTTCTAGACTAAAACACAATTTGTTATTTCGCTGGATTTGATTTTTTGGGGGTGGAGGGGCAGAGGGAAAGAGAGAATCTCAAGCAGGCTCAACACCCAGCAGAGTCTGACGTGGGTCTGCATCTCAGGACCCCGAGATCGTGACCTGAGCTGAAATCCAGAGTCAGAGCCACCCAGGAGTCCCATAGCTGGATTTGATTTTTTTAATGTTTGTTTTGGATTTTTGCCTTTATGTTGAGGAGGGTATAAACCTGTAATTTTCTTTCTTGTAATTTCCTGGGTTTGTTATCATGGTATATGAGGCATAAAATACTTTCCCCTTTCTTATTGTCTGGAAAAGTTTGTGGAAGATAACATCACCTGGTTCATAAATGCTGGGTAGAGTATCTGCCTTGGCCTGATGCTTTCCTTTGTGGGAAAATATCTAACAAGTGACCATATATTTTAATTGATGGAAGACTATTCAAATTATCCTTTTCTTAAATTACATTTGAAATTTTTAGCTGCTTTTTTTTTTTTTAAAGGTTTTATTTATTTATTTGAGACAGAGAGAATGAGAGGGAGGAGGGTCAGAGGGAGAAGCAGACTCCCCGCCCAGCAGGGAGCCCGATGCGGGACTCCAAGATCATGACCTGAGCCGAAGGCAGTCGCCCAACCAACTGAGCCACCCAGGCGCCCCGAAATTTTTAGCTGCTTTTAAGTTTTTTCTCTAAGTTATGCATTTCACAGAAGTGTCAACATTTATTGCCATGATATTTGTCCAAATACGGAGTTACTTTTTAATCCATCCCCACTTTATGTATTGTTCTATCTCCCTCTTCATTTTTGGTATTATTTGTTTCATTTCTCTCTCTCTCAGCTGGGATCAGTCTTGCCAAATAATTTTATCGGTTTGATTATGTTCCTGAACAAGCTAATTTTGGGTTTCATTCATTGTCTAGATAGGTTTTAATATCATTGATTTTTATTTTATTTTTATTTTATTTATTTTTTGAGTTTTATTTTATTTATTTATTGTAATTAACATGTATTATTTGTTTCAGTAGTACAGGTCGGTGATTCATCAGTCTTATAGAACACTCAGTGCTCACCACAACACATACCCTCCCCAGTGTCCATCACCCAGCCACCCCATCCCCCAACCCCCCTCCCCTCCAGGAACCCTCAGTTTGTTTCCTAAGATTAAGAGTCTCTTATGGTTTGTTTCCCCCTCTGGTTTTGTCTTGTTTCATTATTTCCTCTACTTTCATATGAGGTTTTTTTTTTTTTTTTCCCTGTTCTTGCTTACTTTTTAAAATTTAGGCATTTAGCTGATTGATTTTTATAGTAGCATTATAATATTATTCAGTGCAAAGAATAATTAATTTGGTATTTTTTAATTTCCAGAATTGTTTTTCTTTCACCAATGAGATTAAATTTCCATTTTTGGTAATATTCTTGTGGTTTTTGTTGTTATATTTTTGGTACTTAATTAAGTTATATTTTTACTTAGTTTCATTTTTGTCGGAAAATATTTCCTGTATGAAATGAATTATTTGATATTACCAATGCACAAATTATATGACCTCCTTCTTGTTTTTGCTTTTTAATATGTACATGAAAGGCATGTGTGTTCTCCAATTTGGGGATGCAGTGCTTCATATATTCCCACAGATGTTCCTGAAAAAATCCATTTCTCTATTGACAATTTTTTTTTCTGTAGTTGGTCTGCAATTACCGTAAGCTATATATTAAAATCACCACCAAATGGGGAGATTTTATTTTCATTTTGAAGTTATGCCATTAAGTGCATGCAATTTCAGAATTGCAATATATTCCTGATGCTTTGAATTTTTACTAATTTTTACTAATAATTCATGACCCTCCTATTTCTAATAATTCTGAAAGTCTGTATTATATGGTATAAATACAGCTATTCCTTTATAATCATTATTTGGTACAATCAATGTTTGTTTAGATTTACCCACATGTTGATCACTTTCTTGACTAGCTACTTTTTTTGCCACATTTAATATTAGCTTATTTTTTCTTCTTCCCGAAATCAATCATTTATAAGTTCCTCTTCTAAATGTTTTGGCCTTGTATTAATGTGTTTTAATTTCCCCTTGGTATTGAAAGATAGTTCAAATAAGATGGATAATATTAACCTATTATTTCTTATTTAAGCAACTGAAGATATTATGCTGCTATTTTAATAGTTTCACTTTTATTGTTGAGAAACAAGCATCTGCCTAAATGTCATTCTGTATTAGTAAACTGCTTTCCTTTGATTTATTATAGGGAATTTCCCTGATGTTTTGTGTTTGACAGCCTCACTATAATGCATCTGAGCACTGATTTCTTTCTATTTATCTCATTTGGCTTCTGGTCTTCTGGACCCAACAATTAGTGGTTTTTGTTTTTTGGTTTTTTTTTGCCCAGCTTTGTAACATTCTAAGCCAATATCTTTTCAAAATGCATCCTCTAATTTATATTAGATTTTTTTTCTCTTTTTGCCATGGCTTTCTGTGCTTCATCCATATTTTTACATAATTTTTTCTATGCTGCATCCTGTTATCTCCTTCAGAAGTATATCTTCTACCTCACTCATTTATCTTTAGCTATGCTTAAACTACTGCCTGATTAGTTGATAGAATTCCTTTTGTCAGTAATTTCTATTATTCTATTTTAGAAGTTTTTGAAGTTATTTCCTTTTAGTTTCTAATATACACAGGCAATTTTATAGCTTCTTATCTCATTATTGTACTTTGATTACCTACTTATATTTCCTTAAGCGTTCTAAAAATATTTTATATCTTTACTCATTTCATTCCAATGTCCAGTCTTGTAGTATGTTTTTTTCTTCCTTTTCTCACTTATCTTGATTTGTTTCTATATACACTTCATATTTTTTTTTTCAAAGTCATGTTTATGAAGCATAGTTTGGAATGGATTTCTCTAGTTTAGAGTATTTGCTTTTTGTGTTACAGGCACTGTGTTTTGCATTACCAACCCGGAAGAGATTTAAATTTAATTCTCAACTTACATTGTTTTTTTGGTGGAGGTGAATTATGAATCC